GGATACAGTAAGCCACAGAAGCATCTTAGAATTCGGCCACGAGGCACACAGGCCAACGAGGAGACTGGTGCTAGTTCCAGAGAGCACTCTACCCAGGACAAGTCGGAACCAAAGTGTCACTTTCAACAAGCCAAAGGTACACAAACTGGACAGGCCGGCAGCTTCGCACTGCCAAAGTGGACTTCTTGCTGCGGAGGTAGCACGGACTTGGCGCGCGATCTGTGCCTAGACTGGGGGGACGGAGATTGCTCTGGCCCCCAACAGCCATACTCGTGCTGCAGAGGGCGAGACCGAAGGGACCCGTCATCAAACGCTCTCGGCCCAAAGCCCAGTTTTTGTAAGGAGGGCCCCGCGGTGGGTGCCGGGGATAGGCTGGGAACCCGGTGAAGGCCGCCGTGAGACGCCCACCGCGTCCCAGGCGACCCGGGAGGGCACAGCCGTGTCGCCCCAAGAGGTCGCCGGAAGTGAGCGCACCACTTCCGGTTCCCAGCCCTGTGGGCCGCTCTAGCGCGTCTCATCTCGCTGGCATTCGGGCGGGTCTGCGCGGCTGGCTACTGAAGGCAAGCCGCCGAGGCGTTCGTGACCGAGCCGAACATTCTGGGGGCCGTTTGGCTCACCGCTGGCTTCCACCCCCAGCGCTGGGCGGGGAGCGCGCAGGCCTTTACCGCCCTCTATGGCTGCAGGTGCCACCCCTCCCACCCCCCATACCATGGTGCGGAGCTGGGGCTGCCTTACGGGGTTGCGCTGGAACTTTCTTCTGCGTTCCGGGGAGCTAATGATTTTGTTCTAGCGTTAGGAAATGGCTCGAGGTCACGCATTCACTCTCCAAACCCACAATTCCCGCCCATCTTCAAAATTCGCTGCCATCCAAAACCACCGGCGTGTGGAAGAGCAAGTGCGCTTAGTCGCCTTCCTCAGAGAGGGGCAGGTATTGGATGCCACACCGCGCATCAGATAGACTTAATCACGGCCTAGTGAGAGCGTGCGTTCTAGAACTGAGTGATGAGAACACACCGAAATAGGTCAAATCAAAACATGAGATAGTACAAGTGCACATAACAGACATACTTGGGAGGTATCCAAGCGAACTACAGATTGCAGCAGATTCTTGGGGATATATATATATATATTTTTTTTTCCCCCCCTATCCCCAGCCTCTGCAGGGTGTTAATGCAAGGAGGGATGTCAAAGAATAAAAGACCAAAAAAAAAAAAAAAAAAAAGGCAGTCAAATGGGCATGAAAAGATGGATAATGATCCTCCTGACGATCAATAAGCTTTTTCAGTCTACAAAACTAAAGCAGATGAATATACATACTTCAAATGAAGATCATTGTTACTTTTTTAACAGGTGGTCAAAGCAAAAACACTTTATTATCAAAATCCTGTACAGATAACGAGTACAATGAACCATTAGTCAAAACAGACTAATTAGATGAACTATAATCTGCTTTGTGCGCATCTAAGTAAATTGGCAGATTACTTGGAGCAAAATCTGCAGTATCAGATTGTGTAACATGCTGCAGTCATCAGAACAATGCCACCTGATTATATAGGACCTCAGAAGTTGAAGACTCAAAACACCAACATTTACTATGAAATGTCACTTGTTTTCACTCCCTGTATACTGGGTTAGTCATTTTCTGTGTTAAATGGGGAGATGTGAATAGGCTATTAACTACTGCAACAAAGCTCTAAACAAAACTATATTGAATCCAACTCCTTCCAGATTAACCAAATCACTCAATTTCTTTAGTTATAAAATATGAACTGTTAACATCTGAAATCTACTGAAATAATGCTGTTTTTATCAATGATGGCTTGTTAATACACCCTGGTATTCGGACAACCACATTAAGGACTTGTTTGATACACATCTTCATCTATGCACCAACAACAGAAACCACATTTGTTCAAGAGTTAATTTCCTTAGTACAAAGTTCTCACCCTGCATAGTATATCAATAGCCATGCTGCAAAAGATAGTAATCCAATCATTCATAACAATAAACTGTGTTTCTCATCCTTATATTAATTTTTATCCAGTATTTCTTAACGCTAACATACTGGGCTAATATCTTCAAGTTAATAAACTGTGAAATCTAGCTCCATCAGTCAACACTGTAAACAGAAAGATGAAAAAGCCATCATTATAAAAACAGCATGGATCTCATTGGTGGACTGACTCCTTCCTCCAACTTTTTGGGCTCAGAGCAGCTTGAATTACATCCAGCAAATATAATTAGGTGAAGTGTACAATAAGGCAACAACTGAAAATATGCTTCTTTTACAGTAACTGACACTCAAGGTTTTTTTAATTTTTAATTTTTTTCGGCATACCAGTCAGTAGCAATGATTATTCCACCAAAAAGCCATCTTAATTACACTCAAGTGTACGTTAATGTTTTTATAGAAGTGCTATTTTTATAATCTCTTTAAGGAGGTTTGGCATAATCTTACAAAATCAGGAGAATAAAGAAAAATGCAAAACCTGAATTGAATTGCGAAGGAAGCCTCATCTGAGAAGGTGACTTCACATATTGAGGTGCAGAATAGCATTTAGGGCATAAATTCTCACCTTCCCCCATACTGTTGTAGGAGCAAAGCAAAGCATGGCAGCTTCTATCTTTTATGTCAGCCCCATTCTGTCTGCTTACCTTCTAGGACAGCCTTCTCTACTTTCTGCAGCAACTGCATGAGTAGGGGCCACATTCCCAATTTCATTCCCCGACCTGTAACTCTGTTCAGCCACCAAAGGCAGAAGCAGGAGAGCTGGTGGACAGTGCTTTCTGGTATTTAGCAAAGATCATTATATCCCAAAGTTGGCTGATAAGAAATTTAACTGGAGACCATCTTTCTACACAATTCTAAGTCCCCAAAGATCTGCCAAAGAACAACTTACAGATGAACTCACTTTTTAATTTAAGACTCTAAAGCCCTAGCAGACTGGCATCTCATATTGAGTGGAGACATCAGAAAGTCTAGTATGACCTTGACATTCAGAGCACAGGGTCTCAGCAGTGGATCTGCAAACAAGAAACAAGAACAACAAAAGGGGGGATAGGAGTGGGTGAGCTGGGTTAGTCTCCATTTCCCTTACTCACCAGGACTATTTTCTTGTCTCTCAGCAGTGGTAAGAGCTTACAGCAGTAGCCAGCATGTCTTTGTATACTCAGTTCCCAACCTGCTGTTCTGCAGAGAGACCACACCTTCCAGGTACTGCTCTCCTAAAGAGCCCTCCCTGTTCCTGCTGGAGAGCTTTCCCAGCGGTGATCCCGTTTTAGTCAGTGCTGGACTTCTATACTGTTTCGGTAGAATTAAGATCATTCTCACATCCTGTTCAGAAGTCCATTAGAAACTGGTTTTGCGGACAGGCACACAATTTTGCTTTAAAGAGAAATTGTATACGAATGTATATTTACAAGATTCCCTTTAACATTAGTGACCATTCCGTTCAACAATATTTTGCTCCTCTATTTATATGTAACAGCAGGTATCTAAAGACATATATATATATTTTTTTTTTTTAATTCATTTGACAGACAGATCACAAGTAGGCAGAGAGGCAGGAGGAGGAGGCAGGCTCCCCGCTGAGCAGAGAGCCCCATGTGGGACTCGATCCCAGGACCCTGAGATCACGACCCAAGCCAAAGGCAGAGGCTTTAACCACTGAGCCACCCAGGCACCCCCTAAAGACCTATATATTTTCAAATAGTTTGGTTAAACTCTAATAGTTTTCTGTATATATTTTCTTTGACGATCAGGAGGAAACTTTTTTTCATCAAAACCCAACTAAAACCCTAAGGACTGTATTCTGTAGAGTTTGCAATCTCTGATCTTATCGTAGGGATGGGAGATTGAACTGGGAGTCCTGGAGAATCTTTCTGTTGCTTTATTACCATACACATTAAGTCAGGCATGGGATAAAGCACAAAGGCAATGAAAGGGTTCTAGGATGCGTGTGCACAGGGTAGCCTCATGATGACCATCACCCACCCATCTCAGCCTTCCTGGCTGCTTGCATTCCTAACACAAATGTATACACATAACAGGATTGAAGAATGCACAACCTTCAGCATCAGAGAGACCCAAGGTTAAATGCCAGCTTCAGCACATTGCTATTTTTTGGCTTTGGCAAGATACTGTCTTTACCTCTGTGGGCTTCAGTTTCCTCATTTATGAAACAAGGATAGCCCTTTCTCTGTCAGATTTATCCTGAAGATTAAATAAGATAATACATGTGAAGCATCTAGCATGTTCACTGAACAATAATTACTCTTATTCGTAGAAAGGCAGGTAATGTGCTTTGGTAGTGACTTGGAGGTAACTCTTTCCAGAGAGGAGCAAGTATGTTTCCCTAGGTCAAGTCCAGGCACCAGAAAAGGCTATGGGCAGACTGCCAAAATTCCTTGCAAATGTGTCACAAAGGCCAGTGGCATCATATGTGAGAATGGAACTCCACGAATACTAATAGCCATTATGACAGCAACTTGTCCACTTAATTTGGGAACCTTTCACAGCAGGTGTAAAAGCTTCTAAGCTACATCAGAAAATCATGTGTGAAATATCATTTCTTACAACTGTTACATTTAGTTATGACCCAAAAAAGCGTAAGACAGATATAGACAGATTACTTTCCTAGATACTAGGTCTGCAGAACTGGCAAAAAAAAAAAAAAGAAAAGAAAAAGGAAAGTCTCCTTCTTCTAAAACTTACTTAGAAACCATGTAACAAAAGTAAAAGAACGTCTAGGAACACTTTCGTTTTAATGAAAACTGAATTAAAAAAAAAATCCATATCATTCTCTGACTCCTACAAGGAATGTGTATAGGGAGTGAGTTACTGAGGCATAATCCTGGCTTCACTCACTAGCTGACATTGACTGCTTCCTCAGCTATAAAACAGAAGTCATAATGCCTAAAGCAAGTTGTGGTGGATACTAAGTGATACGGGATGCATGTAAAGTGTCTGGCACATAAAGGGTAACTGGTTGCCGGTTTTCAGTCCAGATACTAGGAAGCACAGCATTAATGAAAACTCGCTAGATTTACGTGGTGGTTTTCCTATGGGTTTGCTGATGAACAGTGAGATGCATATACAACCTGAAACCTTTCCCACATGTGCTACATTTAAAAGGTTCCTCTCCCGTGTGGCTCTTCTGGTGGCATGCAAGCTCTGAGTCCAGAATAAAACTTTTTGCACATGTTTTGCATTTATGGGGCTTTTCCCCTCTATGAATGCTCTGATGGGAAATGAGCTCGGAAACACGAAGGAAGGTCTTCGCACACTCAGGACATTTTAAGGGTTTGAATTTTGAGAACAAAAGCAGATTCTCCCCACAGTCACTGCAGTGTTCAGAGTCATCCTCATGACCCTGCTCGGGGAGGAAAAGGTGTGAGGGCTGCCCGAAACACTTCACACGGTACTGGGCGGCTGACATGTGCGTTTTCTCACGCAAACCCAGATTTGTGTTCTGACCAAAATATTTACCGCAGTTGATACATTCATAAGCTTTTTTAGCAGTGTGGATTTTCTGGTGCTGTGACAATCCTGGGAGCCATGTAAAACCTCTCCCACATATGCCACGTGTGTGGGGCTTCTCCTTTACGTGGATATTCCTGTGCCGAGACAGATGTGAGTGCTGGCGGAAGCTGCTGCCACACTCAGCACACTTATAAGGCTTCTCACCAGTATGGATCCTCCTGTGTGTCCTCAGATTGGCTCTATGATTGAAAATCTTCCCACAGTCACCACATTTATACCTTTTGTCCCCTGAATGAGTTTTCTGATGCAAAACAAGGTATGAGTTATCACTGAAGCTTTCATCACATTCAGGACACTTGTACAAATTTTTGGCTTCTTCCCCGGGAAATTCAAGAATTTCAGAAAGTGCTCTGGTTCCTAAACACTGAGATAGTTCTAGTAATGGGGTTTGGTTTTCAATGGTAACTAATAGGCTTATGAGCCTTTTCTTGCAAGCAGGAGCTCCACCTGATACTTTCCTTTCTGGGTCTCCAACTCCAGGCTCAGATTTTTCTGGGTAATAGACAAGGGGCACAGGGATGGAGGAATTTTCTGCAGCAAGTTCTTCAAATCCCGTAGACTCTAGATTCAGCTGTTGAGAAGCCTCAGTCTTGCCTTCCCCTCCTGTTGATAAAACAAAGCAAAACATAGACAACACCCTCAAGTGGTACTGCGGAAAGAGCAAGCTACTTATACAAGGACCAAGAACCCACAGAGGGCTTATCCTAGAACCCAGACCCTCGTACTATACAAAATCAGGCTGGCAGGCTTCACTGACTTCCCGGAGGATCGAGTTGTTGGTGATCCTCTGAGGGGAGGAAGGGGAAAAGAGGTGTAACTAAGTTAGGGTCTAGTAGGATGGGAACTAAGGGCAATCTTGGTAGATGCTGTCCAGGGGAGGTTTCCAGTTAGTCCCCTGAGTCTCAAGAACTTTTCATCATTTACGCAATCTCAAGTGACTGCTGAGCAACCATAATTGGAGTAGAGACTGGGATTCATAGTTAAGAGAGAAAGAGAGCAAGTGTGTATTTTTCTACCTAGCAGAGAAGTAACATGGTTATTAGAAATAATTTCATTGTCACCAGGAGAGTTCTTCAAAATTTCTTTACCTCTCCTGGAGGAAAACTCAAGGGAGAGCTGCCATGCGTACAGCAGCCAAAGATAAGTGGTCTCAATGCTAGGATGGCTGACAGAACTTGAGCTGCCAAAAAACTTTCTTCCTTAATATTTTTCAAAATATTCTTGATTTGTAAAGCCAACATATCAATATAAAAGGGGTCTTTTCCTTCCAGAGAAACAGCCCTATGATTGCCATATGCACACTGCCTGAGATGGAATTCTGGGCTGCAGTGCAGTATGGGAATCCAAATGACACCCAGTGTCATTTTGCTGTTTTGAGGAGACCAAATTCAGGGATGCCAGGATGGCTAGAATTTGACAACAAAATACTGCGGATGAGGCAGGTGCCTAGGCAGGGCTGTAGACATCTAGGTAGGATCCTGTTAAGACTGGGGCAGAGTATTAATCTGTAAGTGCACATGAGGAAACTACCCCAGACTGGGAAAAGAGCCATCAAAAAGGAACACAGAACAATCTTCAGAGTTCACACTACACACATAGTTCAATAGTTCATGTTCCTGACAGCCAAGATGGAACACACAAGCTGTCAGGCTGTATCCTCAGAAAGACATTGCCTTAGCACCACGTCATATGGGCCCTAGCCTGCTCTGAATACAGTCTAACAAAGCAAAAAAGCAAGCCATGAAAGGATCATACTAATCCCAAGTAACTTAAATGCAAAGTACAAAAAATAGTTTTAAAAGTACAATGAAAGCCAACATCCAGCAACAGAATACTCACAATGTCCAGCATCCAATAAAAAATTATCAGACATGCAGAGAAGCAGACGACTATGACCCATAACAAGGAGCAAAACCAATAAACAGAAACAGACCCAGAAATAACAGATGATGAAACTAGTAGAAACAATGTTAGAATAACTATAACTATACTTCTTAGGTTCAGCAAGGTAGAGGGAAACATGAACATGATGAAGAGAGAGGTGGAAAATATGAAACACGAGTTAGGATATAGTTCCAAGAGTCAACCCTAGTCAGAGACACTCTACTCAGGCATGGGAACATTTCTGCATGTAGTTCCCCTTATGTGAAAATGGCATAGTACCCCCTTAAGAGTAAATCTATTTCAAATCTTTAGTAGATAATAGTAACCTATACTCATGAGGTTTTGCAAGTAAAACTGTGAATTGACTTTTTTTTTTTTTTTAAAGATTTTGTTCATTTACTTGACAGACCAAGATCACACATAGGTCAGAGAGGCAGGTGGGGCGGGGAGTGGGGGGAAGCAGGCTCCCTGCTGAGCAGAGAGCCTGATGCAGGGCTCGATCCCAGGACCCTGAGATCATGACATGAGCTGAAGGCAGAGGCTCAACCCACTGAGCCACCCAGGGGCCCCTGTGAATTGACTTTAACAAATATTTGGGAAGATTATTGGGTACTGTCATGTCTCATGTAAAACCACAGTCACTGTACTAGATAGGATTTTTTAAGAAATCATCTCATCCTCTGAATACCACACTGTCATGCAAGCTCTTGTCATATCCACACAGATCAGCCAGAGGTAGGTCCCACACCCCCATACCAACATGTGAATGAGACATGGAATCCTGTTCCTAGAACTGACTGAAGTTCGGAAATGCAGGAAAACCAGCTGCCTTACCCATCAAGACCATATCCTTGAAACACTCCTGGGTAGTGTCTCTGCTGAGGGACCTCTGGGCAGGGTGCAGACTCACATACTCCTCTTGAGAAAAATACACAGCCAGATCCTCAAACAGCACTGGCCCCTGAAACAACATGAGAGCCCATCTCAGGACAGGAGGCCCCCAAGGCGACCCCCTCAGTTTAGGGACTGACAAGAGCTACAAACATCAGAACCAAGGGAGGAAGGGGCTTGGTGTAAAAGGTTCGTGAGTGCTGGGGATGGTGTTTAAATAAATGGGTCCTAAGCGTGGTGGTGGAAACTAGGAAGGAGTAAAAATGGACATAATTTCTGAAGCAGTGGTATAGGGGCCAAGACAATAAACTATAAGGAGTTCTAGAAGAGACTTCTAGAAAAGATGAGGGAACTCTCAGGGGGGGAAACCATTACGTACAGATGCTCTAAGGGAAAGAAAACTGAGCAGCCCAGGAAGAATCATGAAAAGGGACGGGTTCCAGTGTTCTCCCAACATCCTTTTGCTTCCTAGTCTCTCTCCTCCCTGCACATGACACTCACTGCTAAGCTCTCTTTGGAATCATATCCAGGCCTAATCCTCCTTCCCTTAGTTTATCCGTCTTCTAAAGTAACAGTACCTCGACGCGATTACGAATCATCTGGGGCTTTTGTTTCTGTGTTTATTCAAAAGGTGTGAGATATGCCTAGAAATCTGCAAGTTTAAGCAGCATTCCAGAAAGCCACTTTGAGGAACTCTGATAGCCTTCTCCAATAGGCCCTACTCCCAGCTGGTGGTTCTGAAAGGAAGAATGTGATAGGCCATTTCTCCCAAGTGCCTGGTCCAGGGACAAAGACAGCTTCATCGAAGGGCTATTTGGGCATCGGGAGCCCTCCCACCGAGACGGGCATTCCAAGCCCTCCTCCGAGGGAGGGCAGGCAGAGGCCGGAAAGTAGCGACAGGAACTGGGACCCCGAGAAAGGGACCTGTTCTTACCTGGGCCCCCGTTGTCGGAAGCGTGGACGCCATCTCAGGGGCAGGGAGTGCCTTCCTCAAGTGCCACACTGACTTCGAGACAGATCTAGGAGGGGAGAGAATATTCCTCAGAGGGGCCAATTTGGCTGCAAAGCCCCTCCGTGCACTCCCAAGGCTTCCTCGCTTTCCCAACCCCTTTAATACCTGAGCCCAAGGCTCCTATCCGCAGCCCAGCCTCGGCGGGGCCGACTCCTGGGCCGGCCAGGTACCACCTACCGCTCCAAGACTAGTGATGTTAGAAAGTCTCCCGCTACCCCGGCAGAAGGAGCAGAGGGGGACCCCCGACTGTCACTTTAGACCGAGAGCCACAACCACTGCGAGTCTCCCACGCTCCTCTATGCTGGAGCTGCCTGGAAAGCCGCCGGAAACGGCCCGCCCCATGCTGTCGTTAAACTCTGTCCTGTGACTGGCCAGAGCTCCTCCGAAGGGGGCAGTCCTTCTTGTGTGTTGACCAATCGAGTCCGCTGGGGGGGGGGGGGGAACAGATGCCTCTCTGGGCATGCTGGGAGTTGTAGTTTTCCTTCTGTCTCCCGAAGTAAGTATGTCCGGTTCCGCTGCCTGCGTTTCCCGGGTCAGCTCCTGCCCGCTTACCTGCGGGCAGCTAAGCGAATACGTAGAGTGTGATGAGGTAGGGTGACCTCGGAGCGACGTAGTGTTTCAGGGAAATTGGAAAGTAAGAAGACAGGGAGACTCCGAGCCCGAAGGACTATTTGGCACCGAAATGTGGTTTCGGGCGGCAGTGCCCTGTGGGCCCAAAATGTGGGTCCGGCCAGGGTGAGTGAGGTGAGTGGCCCGGAGTGCAAGTCCTAGTCTTGGCCTGAGCAGTCAAGTCCGCTGTTCTGGGCGGACTGTGGGGCCGTGGAGTGAAAAGGGGTGTCTTCTGCGTGGACAGAGTTCAGATCAGCTTTGACTAGGTTGCTAGGCTCTGATCCAAAGCATTTTAGGGGAGTTGTGCCCCGCGGCTGTGGCCGAGCTGAGCCAAATGAGGCTCAGAGCCACAGCGGATTTCAAGCGGACATAGAGCCTTTGGCTTGCTTTGCGAGACGTGAGCCTCCCAATACCTCATATGCGACCTGTTCTATTGCCACATATTTTATACTTCATTGGCCCTGGGTGCCGTGGTGTAGTGATTTGGAATTTAAAATTGAGCTCCTTCTCAAGCTTTGCCACTGATTGCTTGGGTCATCTTGGCCAATATACGACTTTGCTTTCCTAAGCTGCAGAGAGTTCCAAATGCTTCTCCTCGGAGGGTAGTTTCAAATAAGTTGTCAGTTTACAAAGGTGCGAATTTACAAAGATGAAAAAGCAAGGCTAATATGTACATTAATAGAAACTACTGGGTAAATCTCAATGTATTTTCTTATTCTAGGAACACGTGCCAAACACGTGCCTGTATCTAAAAGGTTACTCAAGAAATGGTTGCCTGGTTATCGAAACAATATTTTCAGAACTGATAAAATAAGTAGTGGGAACCGGTGGACTATCCGATGGGACAGTTTCAGTTGCAAGTAACAGAAAACCCAACAAAACTTAGTTCAAAAGTAGCTCAGGTGTAGATTGGTTAGTTCAGTGGCTCGGTGACAGTCAAGGTCCCAGTGCTTCCATATTTCTCCTCTGCCATCCTTAGCATGTCAATGAAAGTGACAGTGGAATCCACATAATACATGCAGATGTGCATTGTGACAGATACCCATCCTAAACCGGTTATTATCAAAGATAAAAAGACTATACCTACCATAATTGGTTTTGACCAACCACGGTTCACCCACCCCCGGCACTGGGGGAAGGACCCAGCCTCCCCTGGCTAGTTACCTGCACAAAATCAGGGCTCTGTTGGAAAAGAAAAAGAAGGAAGTAGAACAGATGTCAAATAGGTAACTAAGAGCATCTGCCACAAGGGACATCTGCTGACAGCAAAGAGCTAGGCCTTCTGAGAATGGGTCCCAAAAGAGGCATTGGGGAGAAGGGGCGGGGAAAGGTGGTAAAAGGACTGGTGGAAGAATAAGGAAAAATTTCCCCACAGGCTAGACCGTCCAAAGCATAAATGTTGAAGAAAAGCTAACAGCCTGGTACATAGAGGTCTAAACTGAAAGCACGTTCATCTTTGACTCATGGTAGTGCTCAAGTAGTCATGTCCCCCCCTGACCTTTGTGCTTATATTTAATGTTATTCTTATGTCAAGGATATCTCATTTAGGGCTCACATGCTCCGGATTTTGATTTTTGACTCTTTCACCAAGAACAAGAGGCTCTTGTGTCTTTTTCCTCCAAACTTTGGTCTCATAACAAGGAGAGAAACACAGTTTCCACTGACCAGAAATGAAGCTTGTGGTATTAACTCAATGGATAACCAGAGAGAGAAGGTTATCTCTGAAACAGGAAACTAAATCTTCCCTAGACCCTTAAGTACTGAAATTAAGCAAGTACGTGAAGAAGGGGGCTTGAGAGATGGATCTTGCTTAAAGTAAAGAGATGAGATACAGAGCCCAAGACCAAGATTGAAAGGATAAGACTGAATTATATGCCCAACTTGGTTTTTTAAAAATCAGAGATGCTTGATGATATATCCATTATATGTTCAAGTAACAGATTTTTTAAAAAGATTTTATTTATGAGAGAGAGAGAGAGAGAGATGCGTGGGGCGCCCCTCCAGTAACAGATTTTAATTGTCAAAACTCAAAAATCCTGGGGTTCATGGAGACTGCTTAAGTCTCTCTCTCCCTCTGCCTCTCTCCTCCCTGTCCTCCCTATCCCCCCAACCCCGTTCACTTACACACTCTCTAAAAAATAAAAACAAAACCAAAAGACCTCAAAAATCCTTCTGGCACAACCTTCTGACAATCTTCTTCATTTCAGCCTTTAAAATATCATAATAATTTGTATGTATTAAAATTATTTCTGTAGCCAAAGATCTGTTGTCTCTCTGGAGATCACATTATCTTTTTAAAAATGAAAAATAATGTTTTTTTTTAAAAGGTTTTGTTTATTTGACAGAGATCACATGGAGGCGGAGAGAAAGGGGAACAGGCTCCCTGCTGAGCAGAAAGCCCGATGCGGGGCTCGATCCCAGGACCCTGAGATCATGACCTGAGCTGAAGGCAGAGGCTTAACCCACTGAGCCACCGTGGTGCCCCAAAAAATAACTTTTTATAGGAGCATCTGGGTGGCTCGATCCATTAAGCATTCAGCTCAGGTCATGATCCCAGGGTCCTGGGATCAAGCCCCAAGTTGGGGCTCCCTGCTCAGCAGGGGGCCTACTTCTCCCTCTATCTCTGCCCATCATCCCCCTCATGCTCTTTCACTATCTCTCGGTCTCAAATAAATACAATCTTTTAAAAAATAGTAACATTTTATTATTAGAAAAGCGGTATGTGTGCATTTTAGAAAGTTAGAAAATACAGATATGAAAAAAATAGAAAATAAAAGTGCCATATTCTTATCATTCAGAGATTACCACTGTTCCCTTTTAAGTATAGATAATTTTCTCTAGTAAGTTTCAACATAATTTCCAGAACAAATTGCTCTCTAAGTTTGACGTTTTTAACATTCCCAGACAGTACTGTTTTTCAGGGTCCATTATTTAAAAATAAGTTTGTTTCTGGTTCTTAAGGCCTTTGTATCCTTCGTGAGATATGAATACCAATGAGAAATTGTCAGGGCCATGTCAGGATGTACCAGAAGAGCATAGATAAGCAAGATTAGCTTTATCTCTCAACTTCAGCAAGAGGCTTTTCTTGCAGGAATCCAGAATGCGTGTCTGGGCAGTTAGGAACCTGGGCTCATTAGTGTCCGGTCTCTAATGAAGGGAGTGAGGGTTGCTGGTCATGCCTGCAGGACTTACTGTCACAGCAAGAGGCTGTCACGACTTTGAAGCTAAAATTACCTCTAACTGGGCAGGAATTCCTTCATCAGAGAGACTCTCAAAAAAGAAAGAGAAAGCAAGGAGAAAGAGAGAAAGGGAGGAAGGAGGAAAGAAAAGAAAGAGAAAGAGGAAGGAAGAAGGAAGGGAAGGAGGGAGGGAGGGAGGAAGGGAGGAAGGTGGCTAAGGGCTCTAGGTTGTGCCTCCAGTACATTCATACTATGGCGACAAAGTGCTTTTGCTCTGTGTCAACTCTAACAGAATTCTTTCTTAGTCACTGAGGCTAGAAATGCTTCCAGAGGAAGATTCTGGACCTACTGATACTGATTGATTCTTGCAAATAGAAGCTGTAAGCAGAGACTCCTGGAGGCTGATAAGATCTACAGAGCCTAGAGGTTGGGCACAGTGAGGACAGAGAAGGAACAGTGAGTTGGAGAGTAGACCAGAAGACTACATGCTCAGACAATTAATTTCCCCCCAAAGGACCCTACAGATTGAGCCTTCGAAGATTAGGGGTTTAATGAGACACTTGACCCAGGAGTGAACAAAACAGCATGGAACGGCCAGGAGGGAAGTGATGGCCTTGCCTCGTTTTCCCCTGCAGCACACGGAAAAGCTGTACTGGAGGACCAAGGTGCCGAGCCAGCCTGAGCAGGGAGAGGAGTTGCAGAGAGTGAGTCAAAGCCGGCAGTGTCTTGGTGCGGATAGTGCGCTCACGGTCAGAGGAAACCCACTGAAATGACACCCTTTTTATTAGTCAAGATTTTTTTTTAAGATTTTATTTGTTTATTTGACACAGAGAGAGATCACATGTAGGCAGAGAGGCAGGCAGAGAGAGGGGGAAGCAGGCTCCCCGCTGAGCAGAGAGCCCCATGCGGGGCTCCATCCCAGGACCCTGGGATCATGACCTGAGCTGAAGGCAGACATTTAACCAACTGAGCCACCCAGGTGCCCTAGTCAGTATTTCTTAAATATTAATACTGAATGATAGAGGGTGGATAGTAAAACACATGCTTTTGTTTTGCTGGTAGGCGAGTAAAGGAGCATATTTTTTAATAAAGTCTTTATAAAGTAATGTGTCCCTAGTATACATATCATGTGGTTCAAAACTCTTCATACCATTTGACCTTGTAAATCTAATTGTAAATATCTATTAATTGGGCATCCGATTTCATTAACTATACACAGAGACCCAAAACAACATTGGCTTATACAAATAGAAATATATTTTTCTCTCACATTTAATTCAAGCCAGTTTGACAGCTGCACCCTGGAAAGCTGCCTGGGGCCCAGGCTCCCCCTGCTTTGTGCTTCCCTACTCATAGGGTATTTTCTCTCCTGACTCTCAGACTCCCAGTCCAGCATGGCTCACTGCCCTGTCTCAGTTGCAGCCAGCAGGAAGAGGGAAAGGAGGGCATGTCCCTTTCTTTTGGGGGCAGAACTTGGAGGTTGCACGTGCCACTTTGAGTGCCATCCCATTAGCTAGAACTTAGTC